GGCAGACCAATCACTCCCAGGCACGGCAGACCAATCACTCCCAGGCACGGCAGTCCAATCACTCCCTGGCACGGCAGTCCAATCACTCCCTGGCACGGCAGTCCAATCACTCCCAGGCACGGCAGACCAATCACTCCCAGGCACGGCAGTCCAATCACTCCCTGGCACGGCAGTCCAATCACTCCCTGGCACGGCAGACCAATCACTCCCAGGCTCGGCAGACCAATCACTCCCAGGCACGACAGACCAATCTCTCCCTGGCAAGGCAGACCAATCACTCCCAGGCACGGCAGACCAATCACTCCCTGGCACGGCAGTACAGTCACTCCCAGGCTCGGCAGACCAATCACTCCCTGGCACGGCAGACCAATCACTCTATGGCTCTTACTGCCATCATCCAAGTGAGCTCTTACTTCTCATCTCTGCCTCATAACTGAGAGAACTTGGCTTATGGACACGGTACTGCTTCAGCAGCTTCTTGTCCCAGGCACCGCAGTTCAGCGGGTTCCCCAGACGCAAAAATTCCCTAAAATAAAAAAAGATGTGTGACTCTCAGAAGATTCACTGCTACTGTATGCAACACAGCAGGCATCCAGAGGTGTCAGTCTATGATCTAACGTGAGAAATCCTGAAGGAAGCAGCACCACCCTCCCAGCTACTTCATATTAAAAGTATCTCATGCAGTTTATATAACCAGCTCATCACACTACATCCTGCTAACACAGAAATGTTCTTTAAAATACTCAATTTACCCATGAATGAGCAGACACCCATCTAGCACATACATTTGAAAATTACACTATCTAAAGTTGTTAAAGACAAAATGCACTAAGTGCATTGCATCAATTTCCATCATTCAAAGCAGACAAAGGAATATCCGCATTTAATGTTTAGTGGGATTGGGGGGGGTCGGGGGGGGGGCTGCTGCTCTTCTACGGTGAGTGTAAATAATCAGCAGCACATTAACACAAATGGCTTATGAGCAATTACATACAGCGGTTATAGTGTTTGGGGTGGGGGGGACAATGTCTCCCAAGTCTGGACTACCCACAGCTGTGCCATCAAGGTTATTTGTAGGTCATGATGAGTCGGTACATTTATACTTCAGCATAAAGCACAAATCATAGCCTACACTGTCACACTGATGTACTTTCAGCTGTGTTTAGCAAAGGCGTCAACTAAATACATGAACAAGAATTTCGAAAGAGGTGACTTTTAGGAGCTATTGGTATGTATCAGCATAGGACAGGAGATTCTGAGAATTCAAGGGCAATGCAAATATTCCAAGGACATTCAACTATTCAAACAATTCAGTAAAGTGACTGATTCCCTGCTTTGACCGCAGGTCATTTTCAAATACTTTGGATCGTAGTAGTAACAGTAATGTCAGACTGAGTGAGATGTAGGGGTGCTCACCTGAGCGCCATGGGCTGCAGGGCCTGTGAGGCCAGCCTCTCGAACATCCTCTGCAGGGGCTGATGCAGCGGGTGCTCCTCGTCGCCCAGAGCGCAGCTGCACCGCTGCAGCAGCCGGGCATGCAGGCCGGCCTCACACAGCACCTGCTGGTTCCTTTCCGAGTGCACGAGCGTCTGCAGCAGGTTGGCCACTGCCAGCTGCAGGTCCAGAGCATGCTAGGGGAGGGGGGGTTTGGGGGGGGACAAATTCTGTTAGGTAGAACAAAGGTGTATGATACAACAGCGAAAAAATACCCCCGGTAGCAAGCAAACCCTCCATAGCAAAATGATTTAAGAAAACTAGCTACAATGAATCTTCAAACTGTATTAAAACAACAAAATAAAATGGATTCCTTTGTTCATATCTTTAAAAAAATGCAGAAGCAACAATTCAACAGCATAAAACATACTATAGAACATAAGAACTATACAAACGAGAGGAGGCCATTCGGCCCATCGAGCTCGCTTGGGGAGAACTTAACTAATAGCTCAGAGTTGTTAAAATCT